TGCATTACTATTGTCTACTCATGGTTTAACATTAATAGTTTCACTAGCAAAATGCTCACAAGTCTTGTTAACACGTATTAAAGAGCGACTCAGTGTTCGAAACTTCTATTAAATTATAATCTCAAAAGGACACAAGTGTGCATAAAGAGTTTGGACTTCGCAAGTATTACTCAAGATAAACTGTACTTTGCAACCTTAAGGTATTACTTAATTCTTATTTTGGCTATTAAACTACAAATTTTCTAAATTTGGTTCTTTAACTATTGGATTCTCATTAATATGATCCAATTGGTTATTGTTGCTCAGTTTTCTAACAAAAAGCACCACATAATATTGATATACTTTTTTTTTTTTTTTCTTCTTCCCCATTTTGCATTCTTAATGCTGTATTTGAATATTAAATTTTTAAAGAGAAAAAAGCAAGAAAGAGATTTGTTAAAATATATATTATCTACTTTTTCCATTTTGCATCCTTATTGTTGTATTTGAATCTCAAATTAACGAAGAGAAAAAAAATGGAAGAGAATTGTTTAATATATATATATTCATTTTTTTCTCTTTTTTTCTTTTTCCCTTCATAAATCTCTCACTAAATTTGCAATCCAAACACAAGTATTACACATTCCTACTTTGACCTTGTAAACATTACACTTTTCCCATTGTTTTCCGCTAGAGAACTTGATAACAGTAGTCAATTGGATGCATTGACTAAATTCAAATAATTTAAGGGCCAAATTAAAAAAATTAAAAGTTCAAGGACCTATTAACTTAAAAACTATATACCTAGGGGCCAAATTAAAAAAATTAAAAGTTCAAGGACCTATTAACTTAAAAACTATATACCTAAGGGCCAAATAAAAAAAAATTAAAAGTTCGAGGACCTATTAACCATACCTAACAAAAAAAATTGAGTTACCAGTAAAACGACCTCTTTGGGGTGGGGGAATAATACCTGATATTCTGTAAATAAGACGAGCAATGCTTGGTAGCCCGAATATGAGGTTGGCTCGAATGGCTCGAAATTCACCTTGCCGGTTGTCCGGGCAGACATCCGGCCAGTCGTCGCGGCTAACAACCGCGGCCAACAAAGGTGATAACCGCGGTAGACAATCTTTCACCCGGTCATCTAGGCAGACGTGTAGCCAACACCCATTCGGGCCATTCGAACCCCCTCCAATTCGAGCTACCATGCTTTTTCCAAACAAGAATTGTTGTTAGAATAAAAGGAAAAAACATGAGCATAAAAGAGTGGCCTACATACCCCATGCATTCTCAATGAAATGCATGACTGATGGTGACCCTACCCTAACCTACCCTACCCCCAGCCCTTCGTAGGGCACATGAACTCCATGTTACCTCTTGCCCCCAAACCCTCCTGTAAAATGACATATCATAGCAAGGACTTGTCAGATCATTTCCAACTACTTAAAAACCAAAACCTGACACTACTTATCCAACTATCATCTCTCAAAAAACAACCAACTACTAGAGTTAAAAACTTGTTTAAATTCTAACAATCCAAACTTTACATATTTTAAAATTCGTTAAGTTTTCAAGTTAAATTTGAACAATTTACTATTCGACTCGATTATATGCACAATAAAAACCAAACTACTAGCTCGATTTAAGCCCATTTGAGATTAGCTTGAAAAGTAAACAAGCCAAGTTTAAATAAATTTTGAATCACGTTAATATTTTAACCCAAATTTAAACAACTTGCTACTTAGCTTGTTTACTGTCCTATGTCCATCTTTTGTTATTGCATTTTCCTAAGTTACCAGCTTTGTCCAGTGTGCTGTGTAGTCACACTTGCTCAAAACAAGACTGCTTATCCAACCATCAGCACTCAAAAAAGTGTAACTAGGGACAAGGAACCTGTAACTACCTACAAGTTACCACTTACCTGTTCGGAATCTGTTTCGTTTCCTATTTTCTATTTTCATTTTGCAGAAAAACACAAATTTAAACTGGTTTGGAAAACTGTTTTGAGATTTTTTTTGAAAACAACATAGTTTTGAAGAAACACCAAAAAGTGGTTTTCAAAAAACAATTTTCATGCAAAAATGAAAACAATATGAAAAGGACGACTGAGTTTTTTAACTTTTCATTTTTTTTGTTTTGGAAAGCACAAAAAACAAGAACAAAAGCAAATGCCAAACAGACAAGGCTACCGGCTTTGTCCTGCGTCATCACACTTGCTCAAAACATATTTATAGTTATCTACACACTATAATATTATTAATAAAGCAGCAGAAGTCAGATGAGATTTACTGATGGTGATCTCACTCGGGATTTAAATCAGCAAAACTGGCTATTCCTGTGGGTGCTAAGGAAAATGGTCAACAAAAAAGCCTAAAAAATATGTAAAGATGATATCAAGATAAACAGCCAGTAATTTCAAGATGAAGAAACGAGAAACAGCTAAAAACACAGGTGTGCAAATATTGATAGTATAAGAGGTGTAGATAGAGATAAAGACATCATGCTGTTGGAGATGACATGATATTGTTTAATCCCCTGGACCCGCTTCAAAAAAATATAGTTCAGAGACTTAAGGATTGTGATTCAAACCTGGTGCAGCGCAAACAAAACCACGAGCTAGAGACAGGGAAATAATGGTTGAGATGACAGCAGAGAGCACATGGAGGACCCATCAGAGGGCCAAGTTGAGGACCACATTCCTTGTCACCTCCTATTTCTGGAGCATCAAAGGACAAGGTACCTGAGAATGACTTCTAGCTTTATTCACATGTAGAGCATATGTAGTGTAACAGATATTGCTGTGAAGCATATACTTCCGACAAATCAAGTAATTATAGTGTTGAAAAACACATACTGATTAGGAGTGTCCAACTTCAGTTGCTGGTGCATTCAAGCCAAGTTGAAATGAAAAGAGAACTATTAATTCGCAAGCCCAAGTCAACAAGACAGTTCACAGAACTAATAATGTGAGATATTATCAAAGAAGATTATATTAAGGTGGAACTTCCCACTACCAACTTTAAAGCAACCCTATGAATTGAATGAAAAGTAAACTATGAATTAAAAAGCTCGAGTATACATGACAGTCATGAATTAATATTGAAAATTGTATTTTAAAGCAAACTCATGAATTGTACTTAAAGAAAATTGTAATTTAAAGTAAACCCATGAATTACTATTGAATGAAAGGAAAACTATGAATTAACAAACTCAAGTATAAATGACAATGCACAGAACTAATAATGTGATACTATCAAAGAGTCTATTAAGGTAGAACCTTTTGAATACCAACTTTACAGTAAATCCATGAATTGAACTGATGCATCTGGCGATGCACCCACCCACACACCCTCCCATAAATACATTACATAAAAGAGACCAGTAGAGTGTAAAATGGAAAGTGAATCATCGTGAAAGGTAATTCAAAGAATGTAATTATCTCTTTGAGGCTTTGGATGCCGATTAGAGCAATTTTAACTGATGCCAGAATTGGACGTTGTAGATATGGCTCATATTTAGAGAACCAAATAAATTAGCAACAGATTGGTATCTTAAGTTGCTGAGAAGTACAGATCTTTTGCTGAATACTTTCCTTCTTACAGAAGGAGAAATCAACTAAAACCAAGTTACATCTAACCTGTTGAAATTGTTCCTCTACATATTCAAAACACAATCACACAACTCTGCAACATCCCAACCAACCAGAACAGTTGAAGTGACATCTAACCTTTACCATGTGACATAAGCTAAAACCCTATTTCAGTCCTAATGTGGATCGTGCATCACAGATCAGCAAGGGAGTTCTTCCAAGTCACTAGTTACATCACTGCTCAGGTGTGGTGAAAAATAAGCAAGGGTTCCCACACTTTAAAAAGAGAATTAATATTATTTGTTTACAAGAAACTAAATGGGTAAGAAAAAATCTAACGAATTTGAAAGAACATGATATAAAATTTGGTATGTTGAAAAAGAAAAACATATGAATGGAGTAGGGATAATTGTAGACAAAAATGTAGCAAGTGGTAGAGGTTAATAAAACAAAAGGAGATACAATAATATTTGTGAAATTAGTGTTAGGTGAAGAAACACCAAATATAATTAGTGCTCATTGACTCTAAACAGGATTAGATGAATCTATTACAAACAATTTTGGAAAGTTTTGGATAATCTCGAATTGGATATTGACAGGTTAGTGTGAGTTATGCACTCTTCGAATAGGAATCCATTTTCTGAAAGATTTTGGCTTTCGTGCTTTGGTGGGTCTCTTCGATGACCTATGTTTGTTGAAGGGATATCTATATAATCTGCTCGATTGCGTAAAGCCCGCGGTAGCAACAGAACCAGGAAAAGGATACAGAAAAGACAGTTCTTTTCTATTACAAAGGATACCAAGCATAGAGAGTTTTTTATGGGAAGTGATCTTAATGGGCATGTAAGAAGATGCAAAGGAAGATATGAATGAGTACATGGGGGTTTTGATTTGGAGAAAGAAACAATGAATTAATGTTTTCCTAGAGTTACAATGTCATATGACTTTCTAATAGCAAACATATGCAGGATGAACACGTAAAACATTAAAAGGTGAGTCAATATTAGTGTCATCCTAAATTACAGTCCAACTCCATTAATGGAAGCCATGTAGCCCATGTTTATCCCAAAAATATACAGTGCAATTTCACAGGTGCTCATCGCACAAAAATCAAATCATCCAACCCAATATTTGGAAAGTATATATTTTTCTGTTTCCTTTAATAAATCGATAAGAAGAAAAAACATATTTTAGTTCTTCAATCATAGTCTTTTTTTCCCCCAACTTTAATGACGATTACCCAGAGACACATACTGTATCAAATGCTGTAAGACAGACAAGAGTAAGTATCATTAATGCTTTTGGGACCTGATGGCATCCTCGTCCAACTAGAATTGTTTTTTTCGAACACATAATGCATTCTGAAATATCTTTATCTAGTTCTAGGAAACCAAACCAAAGTAAATATTGTATTCCAGCAGACCATTCATTCAAATCATAAAACTAATAAATCAATTTGTTTTACATTCCTATTTCCTCTTGTTCAGTACAAATAAACTGTCAATTAACTCTTCTGAAAAGAATTACAACAAAAAGGACATATGTAAGGAGAAGGTACAGATCTCTAGAGTAAACAAATCAGTATAATTATACTCTTACACCGTTACAACACACAATGATTCTGCCATAAAATCATTTTAACAAAAAATAAATAAATAAATCATAGCTTATGGGAGAAATAGTGTACATTCACAGGTCAGAGGAAGTTTTCAACTGCTGATGCTGCCCGTCCACAACACTCAACTGCCTTCTGAGTCTAGCAATATGGGCTTGCACCTATCACATTTAAAATAAAAGGTCAAAATTTTCAGTTTATGGTGTAAAGATTGAAACACTCTGTTTGTACCAAGAAATACCTAAACAAATAGTAAAAATCCATGATGTATTATGAAAAGTTCCAAGGTGTGAAGGTTTCCATGTCACCAAAATGGGGACATCCCAATCTAGAAAACAAAAAAGTTCAGCAAATAGTGGTCGTTCCCAATCAAATTTTCCAAGGGCATGAACCTTTTCTGAAATACAAAAATATAAGACAATAAATAAATATAATAAAGGAGCTAAGGTGATGTGTTTTGATAAACAAGCAAACACATAAAGCTCATTTGCCTGCATGCAATTCATTAGGTCCGACACCCCAGTCACTATAAAGGAGGCACCATCAGCATAACCATGAATGCCCAATTATTTGGGTTATTGAGCTAGTCCAGTTCGTCCATTTCAGTCCACTAATTCCTTGTCCTAACCCAAATAAATGATCTTCCCTATGTCAAATTGAAAAAATTCCAATCTTTTGATCAAGTTTTCAGATGTCCAGAGTGAATCTCATTCGAAATTTACTAATAAAAAGAAATTATCAAAATGAGAGAAAATTCGTCAAGGGCTCCTAGATCAAGAACAAATACCCGGAACGTGGTTATGCTGTGCTGAAAGGAACCATATACTGGTAAGTTTTATAATGGTTCACAATGCAATAATTTTGACAAATACTCTGCATGAATGTAAAACAACAATGAACCCACAAAAAATCATCCAACCTTTTCACGAAGTCCTAAATAATGATACAGTCATCTTATGCGCCATGGCTTATTGTACCATACGAAAGACGTGTACATGTAGCTAACAATGACAAATTTGAATTACCACACCGTTAAGCATCAACTTATTCTAGTTCTGTTTTTTACCATGTTTTGTTGTCATTGTTTAAGCATCATCTTATTCTAGTTCTGTTTTTTACCATGTTTTGTTGTCATAGTTTAAAGAAAGAGTTATTGTTATGAGAGACTACTGCATGATCTGCATATACTCACATCAAAACCACTGGCAAAACCATTATAGATTAGACTTTATTGCCTCTAGATATATAGGCAATACTACGATGGAAGGAGGATGCAATGTCAGTCTTCAACAGTTCAAGTATGCTTATACCCCAACCTTCAAAGGAAGTAGGATCCAACCCTCATGAATTTCCTCGTTCAAAGTTAATTTACCATTTGATTGTGTTTTCATTTTCTGTTTGAAAAAACACAGCATACTTGTTTGCCAAACTATTTCAGAAAACTGTTTGCGAGAAAATTTTCTGAAAACAATCCACTTTCTAGAAAACATAAAAAAGATGTTTTCACATAAAAATAAAAGCAAAGTGTTTTCAACAAAAACAATGAAAATTAAAACACAACAAAACAGGCCCGAGATTTCTTCCCAGGTTTGAGATTTCACACATAACAAAACTTCCTTATTCCAAGTTAATGTACAGAAAATCACCATATTGCAAACTTCCTTATTCCTTGAGATATATTTTATTTTCCTTTGAATAAGTAAATAAGGTATCTAAATTTTGTTTAGTTTCATCCATGGCTTCCTTTTTACTTGTAGTGATCTTCTCATCAGTTGAGGGTACCTCTAGAATCTCTACCATATTGCAAACACATGATTCTAACACATCAAATATATTTGATGAGGATGAACAAGAGGACATAAACGGCACCTCAAGCTTTTTCTCTAGGGGAGCATGCACAACACCATTTCCATTACTCTTCTTCACCTTCACCTCTTTCCATGCACTAGGTTGTGTGACTTGTGTCCTGTTTATTCACTTCACTTGCTTGGTAGCAGACATGGGCTTTTGTTTATAAGGACAAGAGTTATTTGAATAACCAAAAACCTTGCACTCATCACATTTTGGGGCTTCCATGGCATTTCAACATTAACTTCATAAGGATCCCCATAACCTAAACTAAGCATGAAAGAACTTGGAATCCCATTATTTGCTTGAATTTCAACACACACTTTGGCAAAAGGAATTCTACTATGGAAAAAGCAAGTTACTATTCTCAAAGAGCTATAATATTTTGGTGTTATGCTGTTGGTTCTTGTTATTATTCTAAAGTTGTACATCATGAACACATTAACAGCCAAGCATTGTCTGGGTAAAAACTCGATTTTCTCCGTAATTCAGTACATAATACCAAACCCCAAATGGATGAATGCATTTTCCCTCATTTGTAGCAAGTATAGCAAACATTCAAGATTTTTCATATGATTTGACAAAAATGGAAAGTATATCATTCACGCTGACCTGCTGACGAGCTGCTGCAAGCTTTAAGAGCTCATCAGCCTCAGAAAAATTTGTGAACCACTGGTTTAAGGGATTATCTTTGGTGTCACCCCTCTTCCTTCTATCCACATCTTCAATTGGTACTACAGAAACACATATACAACTTGATAACTCAAAGCATAATAAGAAGCAAAATCTATAGACAATGCAGCAAAAACAAAATCCCACCAGGAGGAGGTAGACTAAAACCAGGAGGTAGCCTAGGCACGATTACAGCAGGATGATTCTGCACACGAGCAAAGAAACCCTCTGACGGTTCAGTAAAAACAATCTCATCGTATGATTCCACAACTACAGGCTTCTTAATGGACATGGGACCAGATTCATCCTCCGGATACAACTTTAAATGGTGAAATCTGTAAATAGTTTAAAACGTCATAAAAAAAATGTGAAGTACATTTATAGATTTCACAATTTAGCCTATTTAAACATGATTTTGTTGACAATGAAAATTCCAAACATGGCTCAAAGTCTCAGCTGATACTGCCTCATAATGGCTGATTCATCTCGAGAATGATAGGAACAGCTCCAATATCGTGACACGATATTTGAAAGTCACAATAAACCATTGACTCAGAATGTATATCAGCCTATTGGGGTTGTATCGGACAATTTTTAATATAATAGGAGTTAATGCAGCGAGTTGTCACAGTATCACACGACAACTCAGTGAGATTAAGAAAAAATTATGGATCCTAATTGAAAATGATTTAAAAAACTGCCACACTAATCTTCTCTCTTTTTTGACACCTACAGGCTACATCCACATGATGTAGAAATATTTTTAATTGAACTGAATTTTTTTAATTTATAATTTTTGCAAAGGAAAGAAAACAAAGAAATTTTATAATATAAAATAAAGTTATGTAGCAGTTCCAAAAAAACCATGTTATGTATGTTCCCATTTAAAAATGAATCATGTATGTACTATGTATATGCCGTTCAAGTAAAATGGATGAAGCTAGTTCTACATGGACAAATATTATGGGTCCATAATGTTCTTTTATTTTTGAAGACTAATTCTAGATCGAGTTGAGTATGCATTATACAACTATTTAAAGTAAACTAAACTCGGTAACATTTACATTGAAGTTCTAGACAATATCTACTAATCCTATGGCCACATTGTGTTGATTGCACTTTTACAAAAAATTCCAATAATTTTTTATTCTTGAATCTGGCAAATCATCGTGCATCACCCGACACTGTGATGCAAGATTGTGAATGCGTCAAATTTGAGGTAACATCAACACCATGACCTTGAATCATGTTACCAAACCAGAAGATTGGTTCAAGCACAATTATATTCACAGTGAAAATTTCAAGACCAGTTTATTCAAACACGACTTCATTCACAGTGAAAATTTCCAAGTCAGAAAGTTCATCCAATATTTTGTCACACAGTGGTTGTAGCATACTTTCAAAACTCCAAAAAATACTAAAAACAAAATTGGCAAGCACATGGTTGCCAAGCAAGTGCAGCACAAACCAGAACCATGTAATGAGCAAAGCAACTCACAAGTGCAACGGCTTATCACAAACATCACTGTGGAAATGAAGGGTGATGGCGATTTCAAATTCACCCCATCCAGACTCAGACAACTCAAACGGTGGGGACTCCATAACCCTCGTTGGATTATTGAAACTGGCATGTAATTGAAAGACAGCACGCTTAACCACCACACCAAGATCCTCATTCGTTGCGCCGCGAACATAAACAGTCCATTTATGAGACTGGAACCTAATCAACATTGACAAAACTCAAATAAGCATTAGCTCAAACAGGTAAAAGACATTTCATAAACAGTCAATTTCCAAGACAGGGAACCTAATTAACATTGACAAACTCAAATTGGCATTTGCTCAAACATGTGAAAGACAATTCATAAACAGTTCATTTCTGAGACTGGAACCTAATCAACAACATTGACAAAACTCAAATTGGCATCTACTCAAGCAGATAAAAGACAATTCATAAACTTTCCATTTCTGAGACTGGAACCTAATCAACATTGACAAAGCCAAACAGGCATTTGCTCAAACAGGTAAAAGGAAATTCATAAACAACCCATTTATGATACTGGAACCTAATCAACACTGAAAAACTCAAACAGGCATTTACTCAAACAGGTGAAAGGCAATTCAAGAAGTGATATACTGTCACCGATACTTACTCGCTTGCCTTTTTACCTAGCCAGAATGCAGCGCTACCGTACACTACAGGAACGCTAATTTCAACATCTTTGAGCTGTTTCTTCAAGCTCTGCACAAAGCCCATTAACAATAAACAAATCAAGGTCACATTTTTATACAAATATAACTTATTTTGCGATCATGGGTTGCGTAATTCGGGTGATTCGAGTACTGGGTAATCGTTGAAATATGAATTGAAACCTCACTTTACCTTCTTCTCAGAATCATCTGTAGATTTCATCATTTTGGTGCGCAGTGATTTTGGGGTGGGACCAGCAACGTCCGGCTGCTCTGAACCGTGTTTTTTCGCCGATGAACTTTGAGGCATTCTACGAAATAGAGACGATGGTGATGATGATACTCGTTCGAAGTGAACTCAGAAATAAAATTAGGGTTTTTTTTATCGTACCAGAGAGAGTACGGACTCGTCTGTCAGGGGTTTGAAGAGAGATTACCTACGACGGGGGTCTAAATAGGGTTTTTTGGGATACCAATGATAGAGAACCGCGTCGTGCTGAGTCAGCACAGAAAATATGTGTGCAATGCCTCTGCACTGGATAACTTCCTGCACCACTGCTACATGGCCCGAAATTTTCAAACTCGAATTTGCTCCGAATCCAAAACGACGTCGTTTTACATTATCTTACCGGTAAGAGAATTGTAATATATCTTACTGGTAAGAAAACTTTATTACATGTTACCGGTAAGAAAACCCAAAACGACGTCATTTTGAGTTTCGAACCAATTTCGAGCCAAACGATTTTGGCCCTCAAACATTTTTCTAACTTCTTCCTGGTATGTGTACCTAAAAATAAAAAGAATATTTGGGGTTTTTTTTTTTTTTTGCTTTTTGTTTTTTTTATAAATTATATTGGTCACTTTAATGTTCTTTTTAAATATAATATGTACATGAATTTGACATAATTATATTAAGTATTATACAGATTAAATTTTGGATTTTTTTGAGGAATTTGATCAAAATTCCTTTTATAAAAAAATTCTAATGCATTTAGAATAAGTATCAAAAAAAAAAATTCTTGAAAAATTTAATACATACTATTATTATCAAAATATTTAGTAACTAATTTAATATTTTAAATTTTCAAATTATATAACTTTTGATTTAAATGTTGATTTTTTATAAAATTAGTATTTTTAAGAATCCTCCCATTAAAATTTATTAAAAATGATTCCTCTTGACTATGAAATTCTTTTTTTTTTAAAAAATCCCGTCATAATTGAAGTAAACGGTAAAATTTTATTCTATTTCACCGTAAATGTTGACGTTAGTTTCAACATAAAAAAATTATGATTTTTTTTAAAAAAAATAATTTCGTAGTCAATGTAATGGGTATCTCTATTTACACACCACTATTCAAGGTACACCTTTAGTAATTTAATAAATACAAATTTTCTCAATACACACCACAATCTTTTATCTTTATCCTAACTCACACACCCCACCTACAATCTTTCATCTCCTCTTCCATTCTATGTTTCATCAAAAATGCCAGTGGTGAAGACCCATTCTCCTCCATTCTCTATTTCATCAAAGACGCCGATGGAAACAACTCCACATTAAAGCTACAGTAAGTAAGAATTCTCATTTTGCTTAGATTTGAGGATTTTATGTATGTTTTTGCATTGCCATGAGCATTGTATATAAATGTTTGATTTTGCGAACCAATGGCATTGTATATGAAAGTTTGATTTTGCGAACCGTTCGACACTGGTTTGTCGAATATTAATCTTTTGTCCGGAATGTTTCTGTCGAACAAATTCAATATGTTCGACAGTTTAGTTCGAACTTAAGTAAACTATTCAGACTTAGTCTGTCGAACAAGTTCAATATGTTCGAAATTTGAGTGTCGAACAAAATTGAATAGTTTGGCTCTATACTTCCGAACGGGCTTATCCTTCACTGTTTTTTGTTTCATTTTCAGAAAATGGATGACCCTTTGCGTATTCCATCCACTACCTCAGAGAGACGATGTTGTGCATTAACAAATCCTGCTCGTGGGCGAGTTCGAGTTCGAGTTCGAGTTTGAGGTCAAGGTTGAGGTCGAGGTCGAAGTCAAGGTGATGAGGGCTTTTGGTTTTTGTCTCAGGGTTTTTGGATTCTTGAGAGAGAATAAGATACGTAAGTAACTTTTGAGATACTTGGTGTGTATTGTATTCATTATTATCCTTTATGGTAATTTTACACAAATGTGTATTATAGCCATTTGTCCTTTGTGGTCATTTTACATAAGGTTAATATTGTAATAAGAATTAAACCAATTAATGGTGTGCCTTGAGAGGAAAAGTGGTGTGTAAATAGAGGCACCCCAATGTAATAGATATTGACGAGAGGATTCTAAAACTACTAATTTTCTTAAAAACCAATATATAGATCAAAAGTTACATAATTTTAAAGTTTGAAATATAAAAGTAGTTACTAAGGCCTCGTTTGTTTAACAGATTAAGTTGGATGTGATTATGATTACAGTAAGATTGAGTGAGAAGATTATTAGTGTGATGGTATTAGGTTGGAAATGTAAGATAAAGTATGTTTGTTTAAATATATAAAATTACCTAAAAATCCTTCTCACATATAATATAATTTTATTGATTTTGTAAAATGGAAGGCAAAATGATAATTTAGTCATCAAATTATGTGAGGGGACTAGTATCCTAACCCTTCCATGGGAATGCTAATCCCACCATAGGAGGAGGATTCATACTCTCATGAGATTAGTAATCCTATAACATTTTGTTGCACATAAACATAGATTTGGTAGGTTTTACGGATTGGTAAACCAATCATCTCTCCCAGACCTTTAATCAAACATGGTCTGAGGGTAAGATTGTCTATAAAAAAATATAAAAACAAATTTATTTATGAGTGATTCTACTTATACCACACTTTCAACTGTTTACATCCATTTAGTTTTATTTTTTTATTACATTTTTATTTTTATCTAAAATTACCAAAAACACTTTCCACTCTCAACCTTTTCATTACACATTCATTCCATCACTACTACCTCCATCGGTCTACCCGCCATCGCGAAACCCCCTTCCTCTACCTAACCTCTCTCCGAAAAACCATCACCTCCAGTCGCTGCTGCCGCATCTCTGACGACCATTTTCTAGTTTCTAACAGTCCTCTACTATGGTCTCTAACCCCAAACTCCTCTTTTATCGGCGATCTCCTCTACCGCCACTACGTTTCAACCACTGCTAATCACTGCTAAACCTTTTCCGCCTTACCCGCCACGCCCAACCCTTCTTCGACAACCCCAAACCCAGAACGTTGCCTCATCGCTTCCATATTCCTTCTATTTTCAAATCTGAATCTGTATGTCTATCTCTCACACACTCACTCACTCACTCTCTCTCTCTCTCTCTCTCTCTCTCTCTCTTCCGCTCTTTGTTTCTCTTGCTCTTTCTCAAGTATAGGGTTACAAAACAACAATGGCGTCAGCCACAAGTGGGTTGCGAAGGCGATCGTGGATAGGTCGCGAAAAAGAAGAAGACGTTGCAATGGTGGTGGATTGCGGTGTTAAAAAACGTAGATTTGAAAGTTTGAAAAAATGAGTGATGGCTATGACGATGAGGTGGTTGTGACAACAAAGGGTTGCGGCAGTGAGTAGTAGTGGTGGCTACAACTGTGACTATATGGAGTGAAGGGTGGCTGCGACAACAAATGGTTGTAACGGCAAAGATGTTGGTCAGAGGTAATGGTATGAGAGAATTACGGTTAGGGTTAAGGTTTTTTTAGATTTTGAGTGTAAGGAGAAAGAGAAAGGTTAGGGAGGAGAGTAATAAAGGAATTAAAAAAATTATATAAAATAAAATAAATAGTGAGGAGAGCATCAATATTAGGCTAAAGCTATTGTAGAGAGAAACATCAACAATATGGGCTCCATCAGACTCGGTATAGGTTCAGTTATTTTGTTAATACTACAGTATCTCACTACAAGTGAGGTATTGTTCATTGCTATAATAGGCGGAGTTATGTGTTGCTGGACGTCCGCTCGAAGTCCGGCTGGACGTTTGGCCGGTCAACGGCAATTTTTTTATTTTTACTTTTTACATTTCCTCCAGTTTTACATTTTGTAAAACATAAGAATTGTTTGGTTGATAGCTCATCAATTTAATTATAAAAAAAAATAACAAATATTTTAATAGAATTGAGTTAAAATAGAGAGCTTAATGCAGTGAGGTGACTAGCTAAAATAGAAAAATAATTTTTTAAGTTATAATTTGACTAAAATTTTAAAAAGTTTGATACTGATGCTCTAAAAAGTTAACTAAAAAACATCCCCCTAATCCCCCTAATTTCCATATTAAGTAAAAAAAAAAAAAAAAAAAGGAAAAAGTTGCCAAAAATAGAAATTAGAGGGATTAGGGGTGAGGTTTTTAGGGCTACAAATCATTTCCCAAAGTTAAATTGGTAATATGTGTTTCTTCTCTAAGCGACTTACAAATTAAAAAAATTTGGACCGTCATTTTGACTTTAAAGATGATCAATGAAGAATTTTTGGCCAAATATCCCTACTTTTTTAAGAAGACTATTTGAAAAGAAAAAAGAAAATTGTATAATACGTATGCCCCAAATGACTCGGTCATGACATTTGGCTTTCTTTGGTTTACATTTTCATAAATTATTTTTAAACGAATTTTCAATTGTTTTATTGAATTTTTTTTCTTCATATTTTAGCTTTATTTTAAATAAAAAAAACTTTTTAGATGCATTAAGATTAAATGCATCTAAAAAATAAAATAGTTTAACTAAAATATTAAAAAAAGTTCACTAAAAACAAATGAAAATCTGAACAAAAATACACACAGATTTTTGTTCTAATTTTTGCTTGTTTTTAGTGATTTTTCTTAATATTTCAGTTAATTTATTTTACCTTTTAGATGCATCTTCGATAGATATATCCAAAAAGTATAAAAAATGATTAAAATATTTTAAAGATTCAATAAAAATAACAAAAACTTGTCTAAAAATAGTTTTTGAATATTCAAACCAAATATACAAATATTTGGTTATGATGTATTGTATTATTAGTGATACTTAGTTATAACCTCAAGAGGATTGACTTGGTGGTCAACGCTTGACACTTGGATACTCCCTCAAAGGTCTCAAGTTGGATATAATTCAAATTTCTAAAATTGTTCTATTGTTAAAATAATTCAGAAAAATATTTGTTCAATTTTCTTTTTTGCGTATTGTGAATACAACCAAAAATTAAAGGGAAACGAAAGGAAAAAGGAAATGTATTGAGAGTAAATTCCTTGTTTTTGTTTGAATAGGTTGAGAAAATGAAAAGAAAATAAGTAGGCAATTCTTTTAAAAAATGTTTTATTTTTTATTGTTAAAAATAAAGATAAAAATTATTTCAATACATTGAAATGAGAGCTTCTTAATCCCCAATTCGATTATGCAAAACTGGTCTTCAAATGTGGATGAAAATCGCTTCAAGTCGCCTTGCTGAAAAACTTTTTTCCCTGGAAAAATGTGTACCGAGATGCAACAAGTTTGCTATCAGTATACAACAAAGTTGGATTTAACTATTGTACCAAAAAAGGCAATAAACATGAATTACGGGATGAACAAAATGGTCAGGACCCCTTGCCTATTTATGGGCCTGAATGCACCCCTCCGACTGGGTGTAACAACCCTTCTGAACCAGGGTGCACCACTATCCTCATCACTTGTGCAAGTGCGAATGCATGGTTCTTTGTATACGGGTGTGTTTTTTTTGAAGGATTAGGGTGGGGGATTGAACTATTAATTTCACCAGACTAATAGTCCATTGTTTGTTTCATTTTTTTTATTCCAGACTAATAGTTCTCCCGGATTATTAGTCTCATATTTGTGGAACTATCCTATCTCATGGAGAGGGGTGAGATTGTTTCCATGAGATTGGTATCCTATGGGATTAGGCTCTGAAATGTTCATTTTACTCCCATGTTATTCTTAGCAAACAATTAGAAAAGGGTAAAATAGTCTTTTAAATATTTATAAATTATTTTTTTAGTGTTGTTAATTTAAAATTATATATTAAATAAAAAATTTAAATTATAGATTAAATTAAATTAAAAATAATAAATTATAAATTATGGCCTTATAAATTAATTTTTTTTTAGTGTTGTTAAAAAATTAAATTTACATATTAAATTAAATTATTTTTTTAGTGTTGTTATAAAATTATATATTAAATAAAAAATATAAATTATAAATTAAATTTATTTAAAAATAATAAATTATAAATTATGGCCTTATAAATTAAATTTTTTTAGTGTTGTTAAAAAATTAAATTTACATATTAAATTAAATTATTTTTTTAGTGTTGTTTTAATTTAATTTAATTGAAAATAATAAATTAAAAATTATGGCCTTATAAATTAAATTTTTTTAGTGTTGTTAAATTATAAATTATAGATTACAAATTTAAAATTATATATTAAATAAAAATTATAAATTATAAGCGTAAAATAGTCTTTTGAACATTTATTCTTATCCAGTCCATCTAACCAAACATTAGATTCACTAAAAATAGTCAAATCCAGACATCTAATCCCATAACTAAACAAACATAAAATACAAAAATCAAATCCAACCAAATAATCCGGGGACAATTTATCCCAAAACTAATAATTCGATAGATTACAATCTCCCTTTATCCCGTCCGTTTAAACAAACACACCCTACATGTGTAGACACCGCAACATCTTTCTCCACATTTCTTTATTCGAGATAAACCATTATCCACACTACGTGCGTGCGTGCGTGCGTGCTTGTGCAATTCACGGTTCTTACTGTACACGTGCATACAATCTAACATCTTTCTCCATATTTCTCTATTCAAGAGAGTATTCCATGTAGCTCGCTCCAACTTTCCCCACTTTTCAATGTGGGACAAGCTAAGGGGCTTGTTTCAAGCTTTCCAAAAAAGAACAAGGTTTTGAAAACACCCAATACCAAGACTTAATTTTGAAAATCCCCAATGTGAATGAGTTTTATTCCATCCAAACTGAAGAACATCTAGTTGTAAAATTGGATCTCCCGCTGCTTTGTAAATTCTGCAACTTTTTGCAACATGACACACACATAGACTTGCCCTCCAATTCAACATGTGACCTCTATCCAACTACAACCAACATCTTTCTCCAGCCCTCTCTCCTTCATCTGCTCCCTCAACTGCTTGATCTCATTCCACATACCATACTTTGCGTACATATTTGATTGCAAGACATAAATCCCTACATTCCGAGGATCCAATTCAAGAGCCCTTTGTGTGGCCAATTTAGCCAAATCAACGTTCCCACATTCATTGCAGGCGCTAAGCAAAGCCCCCCACATGGAAACTGTGCAACTTCCGTTTGCCTTATTTGACATCTCATTCATCAACTTCCACGCCTTGTCCAACTCACCAGCTCGACAAAGCAAATCAATCAAGCAACTATAGTGCTCTGGTCTTGGATCCAATCCAAAATCACAAACCATGGATTCAAAATATTCAATCCCAAGATTCACTTGGCCGGTGTGACCACAAGCTGAGATGATTGTCATGAATGCCACCCCATCCGGTGTGACCCCCTCCCTCAACATCTCTTTATACAATCCAATCACTTCTTTAAAACAGCCATTTCTTCCATATACACCAAGCATGGAAGTCCACAAAACAACATCCCTCTTCCTCTCTCCCTCTAGTCTAAAACCCACCATTCTAAAGACCTTCCTAGCTTTCTGTACTAGTCCACACTTTCCATACATTTCAATCAATGAACTCTGCAGAAACACATCATCTCCCACTTTAGGCACAGTACGTATCATTTTGGCGTGAACTTGTTCACCTAGTTCAACAGCAAATAGTCCACCACACACACGCAAAGTAGCTGATAATGTGAAATTATCAAAGTTCAAGTTTAATCCGGGCATGTTCTGAACAAGCTCAAGTCCCTCCGCCCACAATTTGGCCTCGGCATAGCCTGACAAAAGAGCATTCGCACACACTGTGTTTCTAACAGGCATTTCATCGAACAGTTGGACCGCATTTTTAATAAGCAACAATTTCGCATACAGATCAATCAGAGCACTCCCCACAAACACACTCGATGACCAACCCAATTTCATCACATGGGTATGCAATTGCTTACCAAATTCAACATTTTTCATATCGGATGAAGCTGTCAAAGAACTACACAAAGCGTATGTGTCTACAGGAACCCCATTAGTGTGCATGAAGGAAAATGTTTGGAGAGCGAGAAAAAAACATCTTTTTCTACGAAAATCTGAGATCAGTGCATTGAAGGGTAATGGGTTTGTTGGGTTGAGGAAGGTGAAGAATTTTTTGAGAGTTTGAAGTGGGTTTCTTTGAATTTGAAGGCATGTAGTGTATGTGAAGATGAGTTTGGTGTGGAGGCCAAGAGAGAGAAAGAGAGTGCCTTTTCTGAGTAGATTTGCATGAAGTTTCTTCAGGGCTCTAAGATTGCTGGTTTGAGAACATTGGTGTAAGAAATTAGAGGGAGAATCGAAGTTGTTTGTGATATCAAAATGGTCTTGGATGGACATAAATGGTGGAAGCAACAAAGTTTGATGGTTTGGTCTCAGATCAGTTTTTAAGTAGCTCTTGGCCAGGGGTAACTCTAGTCATGCCAAATTTTAAGCAACAATATATTAGGGACACAAACAAAATACAAAATTAGACTCAAAAAGTATATAGATAGTAAGATTTTGCAAGATTTATTAGGTTAACTCGTTTCTTTAAAATCTTATTCATTCATTTATTTTATGTGTTTAATTCTGTATTTGATTTTTGTGTTCATAGACTTATTAAACGTTAAGTCACATGTCAACTAATGTTACATTTTTATCATCTAACCTGCTTGTTATACTCTCTCTCAAGCCACATGTCTAGGTGTAGATTGACAGGTATTTTGCAAACTCCTAATTTCGCATGGTACTCTACTCACCTTTTCAAACTGTACATGTTGACACGGGTTGATAAGTTTGTTGTGCCCAGGCCCAGAAACAAACACAAAACAAGTAACCAAACAAGAAATACAAAAGTTTTATGTGGTTTGGCAATGCGCCTACGTCCACGGAAGCGAATTTACACTAAACTTGAGGAAGAAAATTACAAAAGAAAATAAGATTACAAATGGAGGAGGAGGAGGAGGCAACACTCTCAAACTCAAATCACTCTCTCATCCTTGAATACTCACTCACTTTCTCTTCATTTGCTTTCATTTGCTCTAATTTTTTCACTCTACTAGCACCCCTATTTATACCCCAAAATTGGAGGACAAAGGGATACTTTTCCATAACTTCAACTTGCCAACTTGCTTGCTTGCAAGCTGCACCTACAGAATATCAGTAGAATATATCTAGCAAGATTCTAGAAGTACAACTTTGTCAACTTGCAAGCCTTGTAGAATATGAGCCAACCCATTGAGTCAACTCAATGAGCTAACCCAATCGAGTTAACTCAATACAACCAAGTTTTTTGCGCACCCTTAATTGAACATGGTAGCTGATGGCAAAAAGAAAGGAGAAAAAATTATGAGATTCTAATTTTAATTATTTTGATTATGTGGAATTATATGTTTAATTATGCATAATTCTCTCTTAACTAGTGATTGCACTACTATCTATTTAAGTGCTCAGCACCTACGAGTGAAATTCCTCCTCTGCTCACCGTAGGTGTAGATGTAGGCACACTGTTGAATCACGTTAAATTAAGTGTTCTTTAAGTTTTTGTGAATGTTTTAGTTCAAGTATTTATTCAGTATCACATCAGAATCTATAGAAACAAGAATTGCAAAAAAATGAAACTTTTGCCTTCAAATTTGATCAAAGATGTGGAGAAAACGCCATATTTTCTATTTACAGTAATTTGATGATATTTTATTTCGCTTCTCCAAGACCTGAAAAAAGGAAAATAAATAAAATTTGTATTTATAAATGGTGATTAGTGGAGCTTTACAAAATTGTGTTATCTAGTTACAAATATGCAGCCAGTTATGATCGACCCAATCGAGAAGTGAATCAATAAAGATGGCCTCTCTGCAGGGAATGGTGAGATAACCCATGGGATGATCAAATCCAAATTCTTCCTCAGCTTGGCTTAACAAGTCTTGGAATGAAGGTTCGTTCAAGTATGATATCAGAATCACAAATCGCTTCCTTTCGCTCTCTCTAACATAAACTGATAGGTAACCATTTGAGACATCTACTGTTGCTGATAAAGCTTCTTGGTTTGATTTTGATGATGAAGACCGTTGGAGGATTTGTTTAGCATGAATAATGCAAGGCATACGAATAGCCATTTTTCTGAATGAACAAGGAAAATAATAGAGAGGATTTTGTGGAAGTAGAAGCTTTGACAATGAAGAATGTCAAGACTTGAGACTTGTGTTGGCTGTGGTGTAGATTAACTTCTTACATGTGTATATATAGATCAAAGGTGATGTGGGTTATCCTTTGAAATGTAGAATGAGTGGTGAAGGGGCATTAGAATATTGGGGTCTACAGAGAGACATTAGCAGCTGAAGGAATGTATGGTTTTGTCTTCAATTCATCATCAAGAATTTAGAGCCATAAAATGGACCAAACTTGTAACGCCCCAAAATAATTCACATAATCTGACTATATTAATCAACAATCACCAAATAATAAAGACAATAGTTCTTCCATCTATACATTTTTAAATGAACGTGCTTATACAAAAGTTCACATGCAGATATACATTCAATGGCACTAAAAACACATGAATCTATAGCATGTGAAACATCTAGTCTCAAGCAATTAAAATGCCCTTAAGGGTTTACATCTTCCAAGGCATAAGCCCGGTTACACAAAATGGTCTCTCGGACCCATACAGGTTAGCCCTTGGCTTTACAAAAAGAAAGAAATTTTACCACAAAACAAAAGAGTAATCTACTCTTCACAAAAGCATATCCACGCCTTCAGCTCGGCGGGATCACTACATCTTTACCTGCACCAAAATCCCATAGGGGTGAGTATAACGCCCAGTAGAGAATTCTAACAGAGTATATACAGTTATGCAAACCTCCTCAACATTATATGCAAAGGTGATGCCATGTAATGCCATTATGAGGAAAAAAAACTTTATTTCGATACACAACTTAAAAATCACCATGTTTTCACTAATATTTTCGCAATCTCAACAATTTCAAAGCTTTCAATTCTTTTTTTAATCAATAGGGGCAGTAAATACGACACTGGTAATCCCTAGGCTGGTGTCTGCAAATGGACTCTACAAGTACTACCAAATTATCATTTTTACCGGTATTAACCGGAAGGCTCGACACCTATCTGCGCGGGTTTTTGGTCTTTCACCATGGACACTCTGGCCAACTTATCAAATTCATCTACACCTCCTAACTAGACTTACCAACGTATTTACCCCATAGCACATTTCCATAGTTCTTATTACAATATCTTTTTCTTTCATGAAATAAATATCTTCAATCTAAATTTACAATGCATAATAATAAATTGAATGAATATGCAATACAATGATTCTCCATACCTCATAGCATTTCTCCATTTCAAATATTTCTACAATAACATCAACAATCACATTTTCTCAATTCCTCCATTCGATGTTCTTTTTACAAGATAACCACATGTCATCAACACATAACTACAATTTCTCATCATGCATAATTCTCCACAATGTGGTATATTCAAGACTACATGTGATGTTTTCAAATATTAGTTTCCAATGTTCATAATTCTCACTAGCCATGGTGCACAACAATTTGCCACTTCACAACAATGCGTTTTTCAAGCGTTTAGCAATAATGTTGAAATAACATCTCATCTCTCATATATCAAGTAAATTGCTATTTTGCTAAACATATGGTGAAAATTCACTCTCAATCATTCTTTTGACACAAAACCATAATGAAACCCTTAGACATGTTCACATTTTCCCAAAATTCCCAAATTTCTAGGGTTTTATATTAGAAACCAAAACATCTCCCCATTTTCTTGGTGAACTCCCATAAAATATCTTTCCCAAATTAGTAGAAGTGAGCTTCTCAAAAATCAACTTAAAAACATTTGAAGTCTCAAACCTTCTATTTGAAAAATCTCTACTCTCTTGAGACACAACCAAACTCTGCAAAATAAACTCAAGAGGAACATAAAATCAACATTTAATCTTGCAAAACATATATATATATATATATAACTCAAGAATATCCCTACCTCAAGGTTTTGATGACGAAGAAGAGTTGAAACCCTAGGATTGATGGTGCCAAGAACCAAATCTCCACCACATACAAGAGAGCTCTTGAGGAGTTCTATAGCTTTGATGTAGAAACTATGGTTAGATTCCAAGTGGATAGAAGAGGATCAAGTGTTTTGATCTTGCTTTTGAGGTAGAAATGTAAAGAGAAGGGAGAGAGTTGTGTTTTTAGAGAGAGAGAGTGATACAACAAAATGGTTTACAAACAGCCCAAATGAAGAGAAAAAACAGAGTTTTCGGACTGACCCCATCTCGCACGTGTGGCATGTGTCCCACACATGCAGAGCCTTTTTCTCGCACGTACGGCACTGATCCCCGCATGTGTGGATTTCCCCGCACTTCCCCTCCGCACCTGCAATTAAAGCAGTGTGCAACACATTGAAATTCACCCATTCCCGCATGTGCGGCTTCACCCCCTGCACGTGCGGCCTAGGGCCCCGCACATGCGGCCCTGGCCCAGCAGCCCAGAATTTCTGGTCCAAACCCCCGAGTACTCTGGACTCAGCCATGCACCCTCCAAAGCAAGGAAAACGTTAACACCGAAACGAACAAGGATGGAAATTTCAATGAGAGTTCCCGAATCGCCACAACCCAAAAGATTAACAAGACTCTAAGTGGAACTTGACACACTAATGAGGCAAAATCGGAGTTAAATAAAAAGGAACAAGACAGATAACACCTGGGCCATCACAAAACTGTTCTCTAGTTCAAAAACATCAATGCCCTACCACTTCCAAGATATGCTTCAGACAACTAAGCTCTTTTTTTTTTTTTCTTTTTTTTCCCCCCCCCCTTTTCTAGGATGTATATAATCAATAAATTTTAAAATTTGTACTTGTTAAAAATATGAATGCAAAACAGTACGCAGTATTTTTTTTAAAAAAAATTAACAAAAATTAAATAAACTGAGATTTTTGGAGTTCGAAAAACTAGTAAAAGATAGAACTATGGTTAAATGTATGGGAACCACAAGATGCATCAACTTGCACGACATGCCCTCGTGAAGTCCATGCGAATGATTATCTTCTAGCGGTCCTCATTGCTATTGGTAGAAATATCGTGGCTGCTAACAAATGATGGCCAAACCGCAGGCAATGATTTGAAAGCGGTATGAAAGATCTTTGTTTGATTTGATTGTTGTTTCAGGTCTCCCAATTATACCCAAGCAATGATCAGTACTTTTGCTGTTACATTTACTTTGAATATGATTGTTTGTCTTTGTTGGGGTAATCCCGCATCGCCTAGGGGATGGACTAACTTCACCTTATAAACGTACTGGCCCCTCAACCTGTTATAACATGTTTAAAACCATGGGGTGGGGGGGGGACAGCCAGCTCTGTTTCTCAACCCCAAAGCAGACAGTATTGCGCTCTGTCGGCTGAGCTGTTCCAGCACTCATCCAGACACAACACCCCGAAGAGGAACAAAGCGGTGAGGCCGACGGGGCTCCGCGTCCACCTCGCCAAAGCGGACAATATTGTGGCAGGCACGTAGGCGCCAAACACGTGCATTTGGCGCTAGAATAAGGGCTCGTCTCTTCCCTAGATGTTGCGGGACCAGTTCGCTGGGGGTTATGTTGAGGCAATCCTATATTGCTTGGGGGGACGGATTGACTTCACCTTATAAGCATACTGGCCCCTCAACTGGTTACAACGTATTTAAAATCGCGATGAGGGGATGGCCAGCTCCGTCCTTCAACTCCAAAGCAGACAGTATTGTGCTCTGTCGGCTAAGCTGTTCCAGCACTCACCTAGACACAACGCGTTTTCCCCCAAGGAGGAACAAAGTTGTTAAGCCGACGGGCTCCACGCCCACCTCGCCAAAGTAGACAATATTGTGGCAGGCACGCAAGCGCCAAGCACGTGCATTTCACGCTAGAAGGAGGGCTCGTCTCTTTCCTCACTGTTGCGGGCCCAGTCTGCTGGGAGGTTATGTTGGGGCAATCCCATATCGCCTGGAGGACGGACCAACTTCACATTATACCCTCAACCAATTAGAACGCGTTCTTCCCTAAGGAGGAACAAAGTAGTGAGGCCGACGGGGCTCCACGCCCACCTCGCGAAAGCAGACAATATTGTGGCAGGCCTGCAGGCGCTAGGCACGTGCATTTGGCGCTAGAAGGAGGGCTCGTCTCTTCTCCCGCTGTTGCGGGCCCAGTCCGCTGGGGGGTTATGTTGGGGCAATCCCACATCGCCTAGAGTGATGAACTGTGAGAACCTAAATATACAAATCAAGTAAATAATTAAATAATAATAAAATTACAATCTCAAATATTTTGATGGTGAATCCTAAGTGCAAATTAAATATTTGGAAGGTCTTTTAATTAATTTTTAAACCTAAAATAAATCTATGATGAAAGTCTTTAATTTAGAAGCAAGATTTATTATTTAAAAAAATAAAAAAATTTAAGTGCCAAATTAGTAAGCATATTTTGATCTAATAATATTTGTCTTTTAATAGAGATAGAAATTTAAAATAATATAAAGAGATAATAAATTAGAGCCTTTTAGTTAGATATATATAAAACAAAAGATAATTATTTAGAGTTTTGTTTGGATAATATAAAGAGCAACCCTAGTTTTCCTAACAAAAACCCTAACCCTTATTATAGTTGTTTTGCACAACACTTTCAACATGTAGTAGCAGCCACGGGAAGGAGAAAAAGTGAGAGAGAGAGGGAGAGAGATTTCCAGCACCCTTGTGTCTCAACTCTCTAAGGTATTAATCAATCTATTCTTGTTCTATTATAATATGTTGTTTACATAGTTATGGTGCTCGTGGGTGTTGTGAGTTGGTGGAAGAAAAAGGAATGGATTGGCTGATGGGGATAGTATTCTAGAAATTTTAATTGAATTCATAATGTTGCTCCTAAGAATATTAATCTGCCAGCAAACTTTAAAAATCAAGAAACCTTATCAAACGAATGAATTTTGAACTGAAATTTTTACAGTAGATTAATTACATATTTAATTGTATATCTAATTTTTTTCATAATTTTTGGGAGTCAAAATCCATATAAACTGATGCGTTCAAATCTGTCCAGAAAACTGGTTTTAAACAGTAAATTCGAAGTGTTGTTCTTTTTGGGTATAAATCCAAAAATTATCAAATCAGCGTCATTAGAACCGGTTACGAGTCTGGTTTCTTACATTTTTGGCCTTGCATTGATTGCTCGTGTATATTAAGAGAACCGGCAATTTCTTTAAAGTGCTGCAGAAAACAACTTGTTTGGATATAATAAATTGTAGATAATTATTTTGATAAACAAATCAAGTGAAACCAATTGGGTTTGAAACTTAGGATATATTAGTTGATATCTGGAGGTTTTTGGAATTTTTGGAATAGCGTGGAATGGGTTTTGTAATTTTCAAAATTAGCGAATAGATTGGGAAAACTTGTTTAAAACTCTGTTTTATCTTAAAGTTATTTTTAGTTAAGTTTTAATTAGAACCCATGTCCTGGGTGATTTTAGACCTTGAAGAACATGAACTTAGGTAATATTTAAGAGTAACGGTGAGTTGGGTTGAGCCGTGTTAGTGTGCTTTAGTTTGGGGTTACTTAGTTCTTATTCTTTAGTATTTTTAAATTAGTGATGACGTGTAGTTTTCATACTTGGTTCAGGGCACTAGTTGGACTTTTATACTCTATTCGAGGATTATATTATTTCGGTTTCAGGTGAGTAGTTTCATGCTACATATTTTTATAAATGTTCCCCTACCCTGAACTGTTAGAAAATTAAATTGTTGTTTTATGACTAAATTGTTTTGATAAATTATTATATTATCAATTGAATCAAATTATTTCTGAAACGTGTGTGAACTTGGCATACTATAAACTATTTGTTTTGGTCTCATGTTTATAATAATGAACTACCATGTTTTGCGAAACTGATGTGTATTGATTATTGGGACCATATGTGTATTTAGTCCAGTGAAATTATTCTACTGTGTGTGGTGACTCTGGCCACTAGGGAACAGATCCGGGTTGGGCCGTGATGACTCTAGTGCTCAACGATTGTAAGGAAAAGACCTTAAAAAAGCTAGGTGACTTTCAATCGGATCGTCTAAGAGAAAAGGCCCAGGTTGCCACCCTGAGGATGACTTTTAGTTCGGTATTGGATCCAACAGGGCTTATAGCCTTGAGAACAGTGTGGCATATTATTTGTTTTTTATTGGTACCCAGAAAATTATTGGTGTTCATTTTATAATCTGTTTAAGTGAAAAATGTCATTTATCATGTTCTTGCGAGCCATGAGTATTTTAAGTGTTGAACTGTGGAACTTTTTTTTTGAAACAGATTGTATTTACCAAACTGTATGCCAATCTAGTTTCTGTGATAGATATCTTATTTTGGAATTGAGCCATGTTTTCAAAACTGTATTTACTATCCATGTTGCTACTCACTGAGCTATCAGCTGATTTAGTTTTTATCACTTCCATGTGTTAGAAGGACATAGGGTGGACTCATGGCGTAGCTGAGACTCGATTGCATGGACCTCTAGGACATACATTTATTTTGTTTTAGATTGTTATGTCAAGTTTGTGCATACTTTTTTTTATTTTTATTGAGGTTCATTTAGGATTATTTTGATATGTGGGCTGTTTATATCCCTTAAGTTTGGATGGTATTGATTACGGTTGGTTTTGCCGTTTATACTTGTGGCATGTCACTGGATTGAGTTTTGTTATTTATTACTGGACTTTTGTATAGTTGCTTAATGTGATTATGGATTAGTGGTTAGGTTTACGTGTGCCTTGGGCTGAGTCCCTGTGGGCCATGGCTGGTCATACCCGGATTTGGGGTGTGACATGAACACACTTCACCTTATAAGCGTACTAGCCCCTCAACCTATTACAACGCGTTTTCCCTTGAGGAGGAACAAAGCCGTGAGGCCAACGCGGCTCCGCGCCCACCTCGCCCAAGCGGACATTATTGTGTTCCTCGGGGAAAAACGCATTGTGTCTGGGTGAGTGCTGGAATAGCTCAGCCAGCAGAGCACAATACTATCCGCTTTGGGGTTAAGGGACGGAGCTGGCTATCCTCCCCTCACGGTTTTAAATGCGTTGTGTTTGGGTGAGTGCTAGAATAGCTCAACCGACAGAGTGCAATACTATCTGTTTTGGGGTTGAGGGACGGAGTTGGCTGTTCCCACCTTACGGTTTTAAACGTGTTGTAACAGGTTGAGGGGTCAGTACGCTTATTAGATGAAGTCGGTCCGTCCCCCCAGGCGATGTGGGATTGCCCCAACATAACCCCCCAGCGAACTGGGCCCGCAACAGCGGGGGAAGAGACGAGCCTTCCTTCTAGCGCCAAATGCACGTGCCTGGCGCCTGTGTGCCTGCCACAATATTGTCCGCTTTGGCGAGGTGGGCGCAGAATCTCGTCGGCCTCACGACTTTGTTCCTCCTCAGGAAAAAACACGTTGTAACAGGTTGAGGGGCCAGTACGCTTATAAGGTGAAGTCGGTCCGTCCCCCTAGGTGATGTGGGATTGCCCCAACAGTTTTTGTTTTTGATGTTGCCTTATTTCTGGGGTGATTAGTCAAGGAAAATCAATATACCATAACAAAATAATGAAGGTCCCGCTTGAAATTATATGTCAATGCAGCCTACTGATTACAAAAAAATGTATTTCAGATCATTTTCATCAAAGACTAAGTTCGTGTTCATGTTACAGATTGAATGTGTATCATATTCAGTCAGTAGTTATTGTTTCTTTTCTTTTTTTAAATATAGTCAAGTTGGTTGATGCTGAGTTTTTTATTTTTTTTTTAGACACTGAGTCCATCAGTAACATGTCTTGAGACAAACCAAGTTCATTATCAGATTAAGCCTGTGATTCCTCGTGGATTATGCAACCTTCAGTTGGAGCGCGAGTTTTTTTGTTTATGTTGGGGAGAAACAAAGTGATTCACGGTCTCAACATCATACTTGAGCCACTGAGACAGATTTTTGGCTCAGTCATACAATGGGTGGCCTCATTAGTTAGGTGCAACAAAAAGGCTTTATTCATTTTTGGCTGAACATTTCTGGTAAATATATTTAGCAGAGACAAAGGTTTTGTAATTATGTGCACTCACTATTACTCTCTCGCATTTACCCATTCTGTTTCAATCAATATAGTTAAACTGGTATTTATCAAATTGCCATTACAAATTGGCACATAGCCGAGGAGAGACAAAGTTCATAAGGTATTAGATGATTGTCTTCCAAGTCATCTGATATGAAAGACTGGGGGCACTAGAATTGGAATGTGTTCGAAATTTGGATGCAAAGAAATGGATTGAACTCGAAGAAAATTTCTTGATGATTTGATCTATGGAAGGACAATTTCACTTGTTTTAGGCTAAACTGGCCATGTCTGTGATCTATGGGAATAAAAATTTCAATGAAAAGAAGCGTTTGCCTTCAAAATTGACTGAGGATACAAGAGATCACTGTCACGTTATTTATAATATTTTGGTAACATTCTTTTCTCTCTACAAGAGGTGAACAGCTCAAGTTAACAAAGTAAACAAAAACAAAAAAAGAAAGTAGAAGAAAACACCAGTCATGTTACTGGTTTTTACTGTTACAAAATTGTGTGTTAGCTAAAATATGCTGTCAAATGTTCTGCATCATGATCGACCCAATCTAGAAGTGAGATCAATGAAGATTTCCTCTCGGCAAGGAATGGTGAGACCTCCCATTGGATGATCAAATCCAAATTCTTCCTCAGCTTGCCTTAACAAGTCTTGGAACGAAGGTTGGTTCAAGTATGATATCGGAATCACGAATCTCTTCCTTTCCCTCTCTCCAACATAAACTGCTAAATAGCCCTTTGGGACATCTATTGTTGCTTGGTTTGTTGTCGGTGAAGAGCTGAAGAATTTGTTTAGCATGAACAATACGAGGCATACGGATTGCCATTGTTATCGATGAACAAGAAGAAAAAGATTAGAAAGGACTTTGCACAAGTGGAAGCTTTGGCACTGAAGAAATGTCAAGACTGAAAATTTGTGTTGGTTGTGGTGTAGACTTACTGCTTATATGTGTGTATATATATAAATCAAAGGTGATGTGGGTTAGTTAATCCTCTGAAATGTGGAATGAGTGGTGAAGGGACATTAGATTAGAATATTGGGGTCTACTGAGAGACACAAGCAGCTGAAGGAACACATGGTTGTCTTCCAATTCATTATCAAGAATTTAGAGCCATAGAATGGACCTAACTGTTTGTTAGTTGAAAAACATCAATGCCCTACTCCTAAGCTCTTTCTTTTATTCTAGGATGATCTAAAATATATAATTATTAAATGTTAAAATTAGTACTTGTTAAAAATATAAATGCACAATTTCTTCTCTTTCTTTCTTTCTTTCTTTTTTTCTCTTTTTTTTTTTCCTCACAAAAGAAGCAGTATGCAATTTTATTTTATTTTATTTGTCACACGAAATAAATAATCGTTGAGTTAAATAAAGTATACTTGACATTTTTTTGGAGTTCGAACACCAGTGAAAGATTGATCGATCTATGGTTAAATGTCTGGGACCAGAGGGCGCATCAACTTGCATGGCAGACCCTCGTGAAGTCAATGTGAATGATTATCTTCAAGTGGTCCTCATTGCTATTGGGAGAGATGTTGTGGCTGCTAACAAATGATGGGAAAATCAATGGAAATGATTTGAAAGCAGTATAATTACCATATCAGGGGACTTTGTTTAATAATTGTTTCAGGTCCTCCCAAATTATTCCCGTGAATGATCAGCACTTTTGCTGCTACATTAAATACATTTATTTTGAATATGATTTTTTTTTTTTTTGAATATAATTTTTTTTTTTTTTTTTTTTTTTTTTTTTCTTTTTCCGCTGTTGCTCTATTTCTGGGGTGACTAGTCAAGGAAAATCAATACACCATAACAAAACAATGAAGGTCCACTTGAAATGACTATTTCCTTTTAGTGAATTCTCAATATCATCTCGTTCTTCTGTTTTCTGATCAAATGCTCAACAAAACTATATTAGTTTTTTACCTGCTGGTTCAGATCATATTCAGATCATTACAACAAAACATGAACCTTATAATTCCAGGGGGAATTTTTTTTTTCTTGAGACTGATTTTAGATAAAGCTTCTCCCAAATGGGGAAAAAAAATAAATAAATAAACAAAAAAAAACAAAAATCTTATTTGTTCCTAATGAATGCAGCATGCTATTATAAATAATATTCAAAGGAGGCTGATCATATATATATATTTTTCTGAACTGGAGCCTTGTCATGTCTCCATATTGGTTTGAACAATCTCATCAATCAATGACCTAAAACTGTCTGATTGTTTAAGCAACTTTTTTTGATTGATTAATAACTCATAGAGAGGACAATTAAACAATAAATTCTTCATCGCCATTTTAGATTTTTCTATGCTCTTTAGCGGTTGTAAAGCCATTTCCTTCACAAAAGCAACAGTTTTTTTTTTTTTTTCAAAGAAAAAGAAAACAGTATAGAGAAACGAGAGTAAGCTGTTTGATGTGAATGAATAAAATTTACTTCTATTTCCCTTTACAAAACGGGTGTGTTTGGTTTGGTTTTGGGAGATAAATTTTCAAAAAAGATTTTGGGGAGAGAGTTTAGCATTTTTTTTGATTTGGCTATTATAAATAATATTCAAAGGAGGCTGATCATATATTATATTTTTCTGAACTGGAGCCTTGTCATGTCTCCATATTGGTTTGAACAATCTCATCAATCAATGACCTAAAACTGTCTGATTGTTTTAGCAACTTTTTTTGATTGATTAATAACTCATAGAGAGGACAATTAAACAATAAATTCTTCATCGCCATTTTAGATTTTTCTATGCTCTTTAGCGGTTGTAAAGCCATTTCCTTCACAAAAGCAACAGTTTTTTTTTTTTTTTCAAAGAAAAAGAAAACAGTATAGAGAAACGAGAGTAAGCTGTTTGATGTGAATGAATAAAATTTACTTCTATTTCCCTTTACAAAACGGGTGTGTTTGGTTTGGTTTTGGGAGATAAATTTTCAAAAAAGATTTTGGGGAGAGAGTTTAGCATTTTTTTTGATTTGTTTGGTTGTATAATTTGGAAATAATTTTGGAGTATGGAAGTTTGGGATGGTTTGATATTTTGTTGTAATTGAGTAGATGTGTGTGAGAGAAAAAGTGATTGAGAAAGAGAGGAGAGTGAAAAAATGATTGATTTTGATGTGTAGGAGAGAGAAAGTGATTTTAGAAACAAAATTTTGAAATTTTTTTTCAAAAATTGTGTTTTGAGAGTTAAACCAAACAAGGTCAAAATTTCGACGTAGGATATTTCCATGAAACAAACAGATTCTACTGATACAAAATTGGAGAAGTTAGCTTTTCAGGTCAATGGTGTCAAAACTATATTAACAATTTTTTTCTTTCAATTGAGAAAATGAACATGTAAACACTCCAGAATCTATAAAAACAAAAAATTCAATGGAATGAAGCTTTGCATTTAAATGTCAGAGAATGCCATTAATAACTATTTATAATCTTCTGATGACATCTTTTCTCTCCCTCCTCCTGCTGAATTTTTTGTGTGAAAAAGGAAAGAAAATTTGTACATGAAAATGGTGAATACTGCTTTGTTACAAAAGTGTGGTGGCTGTCCTCTATGATGAATCATGATCCACCCAATCGAGAAGTGAGATTGATGAAGATGTCTTCACTACAAGGAATGGTGAGACCACCCATTGGATGATCAAATCCAAATTCTTCCTCAGCTTGGCTTAACAAGTGTTGGAATGAAGGCTGGTTCAAGTATGATATCGGAATTACGATACGCTTCTTTTCACTCACTCCAACATAAACTGCAAAATGACCCGTGGGAACATCTGCTGCTGCTGAGGCTGCTTGGTTTGCTTTCAATGATGAAGATCGTCGGAGGATTTGTTTAGCAAGAATTATACGAGGCATACGAATAGACATTGCTTTCAATTGGGACTATCTTCCTCAACAAGAAGAAAAAGGAATGAAGGATTCGTAGAACAAGTGGAAGCTTTGACAGAGAAGAATGTGAAGCTTGTGTTGGTTGTATAGGTTCACTGATATGAGTATATATATATATAGATCAAAGGTATGTGGGATATGTTATGGAAATATAGAATGAGTGGTGAAAGGACATTAGAATACTGGGGTCTACTGAGAGACATTAGCACATGAAGGATAACATGGCTTTATGTTCCTATCCTACTCATTGATATCATGAACTTAGAGCAATAGATCAAATTGTAAGTTGGTTGGAAAACATTGTGCCCTACCACTTTGAGTAACATAGCCTACAGATGACCCTCTTTGAAATTCAAGAGATAAGGGTAGTAAATGGCCTCATGCTTTGGATTAGACATGCTTAAAACATCTCAGTCCTCTCTTTTCCTTTTAGTATGATCACAATGTCACAAACATAACAAACTGCAGAGATAGCATGTCTAAACTAATTTACTAATAAGATCAGAAGATGAAATATAAACTATTTTACTAATGATTTGGAAGACAGAAAGCTGTGCTTCCTCATGAATTATGTCCCCTTCAGTTGGAGGATCACTTTTTTTGTTTATATTGGAGAGGATTAAAAGTGGTTCATGGACCCAATATCGTTCTTGAGCCACTGTTCTTTGAAGATTTTCTAAGTGAAACTGAGAAAGATTTTAGGTTCAGTCATCCAATGGTGACCTAATTAGATGGAATGACAAAAAGTCATTATTAATCTCTGGTTGATAGGTTTAAAGTAGGTTACCAAACCAAACCAAGCTTTAAGTCCCATCAAATGGAGTCAGTTACATGAATCCTTCGTATCCACTTGACTCTATTAACGAGCATTTGGTTAGTCAAATTAAGGAGATTCATATATCTATTTACTACACTCTCTCATGTCAATCTAGGTCTATCCATTCCTCTAACACTTCCATTTACCATCACTGTATCACATCTCTTCACTACTGCCTCTGTTGCATATGACCAAACAATCTCAATCTATTCTGTCTCAACTTATCTTCTATCGGTGCCACTATCCATTCACGAATATACTCATTCATAATTCTATCTTTTCTTGTCTTACCACACATCTACCTTAGCATCCTCATCTTAGCGACACTCATCTTATCTACATGTTATTTCTTAGTTGCCCAACATTCCGTCCTATACAACATCGCTAGTCTAATAGCCGTTCTATAGAACTTTTCTTTTAGTCTAGTGAATACTTGTTTATCACATAGTACCCCAAATGCACCCCTTTACTTAAGCCACCCTGCCTTAATTCTACGTACCACATCCACTCCAATCTCCTTTACTGTTGTGATAATCAATCCTAAATAACGAAAATGTTCACTCTTAGGTAATTCTTGGTTCTCAATCTTCACTTTTTCTCTACTTCCATTGTTACTGTTACTGAAATTACACTCCACTCCAGTACTTTGTCTTTATTCTACTTATCTTAAATCCTTTAGATTCAAGTGTTTCTCTCCATGTCTCTAGTTTAGTGTTAACTCATTCTTTAGTCTCATCTACTAACACGATATCATTTGCAAAAAGCATACATCATGGCACATTATCCTGAATATTTCTCATCAACTCATCTATAACTGAAGCAAAAAGATAAGGACTTAAGATTGATCCCTGGTGTAACTCCACAGTAATTAGAAATTCATTCGTCTCTCCAGCAGGCGATCTAATAGTGGTTGCCACACCTTCGTACATGTCCTTAATCATATCAATGTACCCTTTTGTCACTCCTTTCTTCTCTAATACCCACCAGATTATATTCGGAGACACTCTATTATATACTTTCTCAAGATCGATAAAAATCATATGAATATTTCTTTTCTTTTCTATATACTTGTCTATTACTTTCCTCAAAAAATAAATCGCTTCTATTGTTGACTTACCCGGCATAAATTCAAATTGATTATTTGACACCTCTGTTATATCTCATAGTCGACATTCCATCACTCTCTCTCACACTTTCATTATATGACACATCAGTTTGATAGGTTTAAAGTAGGTTCTTCCTTTGAAATAGGAAAAGAGAAATTCCCAAATGTCTATTCCTTTAAATGGATTCTCAATTACAACAAAACATGAACCTTACCATTCCAGAGTGATCTTGCATGATTTTGGTTGTCTTCGCACTGATTATAGATAAAGCTCCTCTCAAACTGAAAAAAAAAAAAGATCTTATTTCTTCTTAATGAATGCATAATATTATACATAATCCGCAAAGGGCAGTTTTTTTTTTATTGCCTTTTCTTTTCTTCAAAGTGAAGTCCTGTCCTACAGAAGGCTGGATCCATTGAAATTGAAGATATAAGATTAGTAGATAGCAACATGAATGACTATCTTCAAGTGGCCTCGTTGCTACCCACCCCGTTTGAACACACCAAATGTTATTTGGAGAAAAATGATGGCCAAGTCATGGGTGCAGTAGTATTTGCCACAGGCAAATCTAACCGTGGCTAATCTTCTTTTTGTGACGGTAAGTACAGGTATAATGACAGTGTTATACTGTTGCAAATAGGACTTTAACATTATTCCCACCAAAAATAATGATGTTAGAAATTTGGCCTTAAATTCTTAATCCTAGAAATGTGTCACAATATAGAACTTTTATCACTGGGCATATGTAGTGCTTTTGCAACTGGTAAGTCCATCGCTTTCTTTTTGTGACGGTACTGAATTGCCAAAAAAAAAAAAAAAAGAAATACTGAAAACAAAATAATTGCCAGGGAACTTGACAAGTTAACTTGATTGAAATCTAAGTTGGTTTTACATTTTGAGTTAATGGTTGAGACAATTGCAACATGAATAAGAAAAATAAACTGAACAGCATACATGCAAGTAGTTACAAGAATCTCCCTAGATTGTTAGAGTTTTTAGTTGTGAAGCCATTACTTCAACAAGGTATTTGTTCTGGTTGGTCACTTACTAATTGGGAACAGGTTTGTGATTCTTCTAGTATGCCCCCAAGCGATTTGTTTTTTGGACGAGAGAGAGAGAGAGAGGGAAGTATGAAGCAAGCTGTTTGATGTAAGAGAATAGAAATGGCTACTATTTTCCTTTACAAAACATATAAAATTTCTACATAGGATTTCCAAGAAATAAACAGATGCTACTGATACAAAATTGTTATTACTGTTTTGTTACAAAATTGTGTATGCTAAAATATGCTAGCAAGTGTCCTCTATCATGAATTCATGATCAACCCAATCGAGAAGTGAGATCAATGAAGATGTCTTCTCGGCAAGGAATGGTGAGACCACCCATTGGATGATCAAACCCAAATTCTTCCTCAGCTTGGCTTAACAAGTCTTGGAATGAAGGTTGGTTCAAGTATGACATCGGAATTACAAATCGCTTAGTTTTGCTCTCTCCAACATAAACTGGTAAATAGCCTTTTGGGACATCAAACGCTGCTGATAAAGGTGCTTGATTTGCTTTCGATGATGAAGACCTTTGGAGGATTTGTTTAGCATGAACAATGCGAGGCATACGAATAGCCATTTTTCTCAATGAACAAGAAGAAGAATAGAGAAGATTTTGCAGAAGTGGAAGCTTTGGCAATGAAGAATGTCAAGACTCAAGACTAGTGTTGGCTGTGGTGTAGACTAACTTCTCATGTGTGTATATATATAGATCAAAGGTAATGTGGGTTATCCTCTGAAATGTAGAATGAGTGGTGAAGGGGCATTAGAACATTGGGTTCTACAGAGAAGCATTAGCAGTTGAAAGAACACATGGATTTGTCTTCGAATTCATCATCAAGAATTTAGAGCCATGAAATGGACCAAACTGTTTGTTAGTTGAAAAACATCAATGCCCTACCACTCCCATTCTAATACCATGATGCCCTACAAAGGCCTCATTGAAATTATAGATAAGGATTAATTAAAATTTAGAAGTTAATTTACAAATGAAAGACTACACAATCATAAGCAACTTTAGCTTATGTTAATAAAAAGACAGAGCAAACATTGAATCAACTGCCACCAACATGAACACTAGGTAATCTAAAGTCATGTTACAAATTAATTGAGACATGGAAAGAATGGATCTGCGGTTAAATTTCTGGGACCAGGGGGTACATCAACTTGCACGGCACACCCTCATGAAGTCCTTGTGAATGGTTATCATCAAGTGGTCCTCATTGCTACCCACCCTAATTCAATGCAACAAAGTACAGTGGATGCTAACAAATGATGGGAAAATCACTGGCAATGATTTGAAAGCAGTATTATTACCATTTCAGCGGACTTTGTTTGATATTTTTTGCAGCAGGTCCTCTCAGTTATACCCATCGAATGATCAACACTTTTGCTGCTACATTTTGCTTTGATTATGTTTTTTATTTTTTATGGGGTGATTAGTCAAGGCAAATCAATAACCGATAACAAAACAAGGAAGGTCCACTTGAAATTATATCGATGCAGCCTACTGAATACCGAAGAAGTATTACTACAACATACATTAACCCCTAATTTGAGCCATAATTTCCAAAACAATAATTATCTAAAAACCCTAATTTCTGATTTTCTAATTTTTGCAGAACTCAAATTTCTGAATCCATATTTTTGAAAACACTCGTTTATGCTTTCTGGTGGTTGCTGGTTTATGATGCAACAAAAAGCTTCATTCACCTTTGGCTGACGATTTTTGGTGACTGTTTAGACGTGACAGAGGCTTCTGTAATTGTGTTCCGTTACCATTACTCTCTTGCAGTTACCTGTTTTGTATTTTTAATATGGTTAAATTGGTTTATCAAATTGTCATTACTAGTTGGCAACGGCATTCCGATTCTTCTAATGCAACAACAGAGAATTTCTTTTTGATGAAAAATAAATATAGAAAGTCAAAAAAGAAAGAAAAAAAAAAGACGAGAAGTAAAGATCTAGAAGGAAGAAGAGTAAGCTGTTGGATGCGAATGAATAGAATTGACTTCTATTTTCCTTTACAAAATATATGAAGTTTGTACATAGGATTTCCGTGAAACAATCAGGTTCTACTGATACAAAATTGGAGAAGTTAGTTTTTCAAGTCAATGATGTTTAAACCATATTAGCATCTTTTTTTCCTTCAATCTTACGAGGCATTCAAACCACACATGCGATCAATGAAGGCTTCTTCTCTGCATGGGATTGTGAGACCACCCATTGGATGATCATACCCAAACTCTTCTTCAGCCTGACTTAGCAAAATTTGAAATGTAGGATGATCCAAGTATGATATTGGAACCACAAATCGTTTCTTTTGAATCTCTCCAACGTAAACAGCAAAGTGGCCTTTGGGTACACCAGCTGGCTCTGAAGTTACACGTGCTCGGAAGATTATCTGCGTAACAGGAACAATCCTAGGCAACCAGATACCCATGAGTGCTCGGAATTGTGATATTTGAAGAAGTTAAGGCAAGAAATGGATCTCTAAGATTTTGTAAATTACAAGAAGTGTTACACTGATATGTTGGGGCTGGTATTTATAAAGCAAATGCCACATGGATAACAACCACAAATGGAACAAGTGGAGAAGAGAAATCTGCAAACAGGTCGGTCTACTGATGGAGAACATTGTCATGAGGCATAACATGGTGTTGCCTCCCACCTGAACCTGTTAGGTTAGAGGACTGTATACTGATTTATGGCATGTAGCAACGGACAAGGTACATCGATCAAAGATTACATGGTTCAACAGAATATGTGGATCAGATCTCTTGGATTCTTTGGAAGAAAATATGCCAACCTTTAATGTTTGGGGATTGCTAGATTGAACAAAAGCACAAAATCAAATTAACGTGTGAAATTGTTCTATGCTGCTATCATCTATAAGCGATTTGACATGGATTGATAGTCCCCTGTAAACCATGGTTCTGATAAATAAAGTTTCTTGCTTTACAACGTGGATAAAATCCAAAAATCAGAAATTTATTTGCCATAATTTTCAAAACAAATTTCAGCAATTAAAAAAATTCATTCAAATGATAAGAATGAATGTCAGATGATGCTTAGGATATACAAGTTCTTTTGGTTTGAAAATGACCGTGACATGATCATGATCTCGCAAATATGGTTTATCAGTGAGACAACGTGACCAATTGCTGAATCAATGGAAGCACTCTTGTCCTAATAACGCTAATCTGTTCCACTACACAACTTCCAGAAGAAGATGCTACTTTCCCCCATGTGTGGATTGTTTTATTCTCAATGGATGGTCGTATCTCAGGTGGGCCATTTTTCCCGGATCTGCCAGCATAGCTTTTTAGACATCGAAGTGATCATCAGTTGCTGTAAATGAGGAAAAGAACACTTTAAACATTTTTTGATTCATTTTTCTCAAGAATGGGGACCTGCATTTACAAAGTACAGTGTCCGTGGAACTCCCTCACAACATGAGCAATTTTTCTACATTAAAAGGACCTTGCATACTGAATGAGAGTGCCTTGTGTTGAAACTTGGCAAGCATGGACTTCTCTTCATGTTTGACTTGAAGAACTCAGAAATTCATGAAGAATTGTAACTATAATGTTAACAGATTTGCCATTACGATGCTGTGTTAATTTTATAATTTCTCAACTGGAATGGATGGAGAGATTATCTCATCCTTCTGACTGTGATTGACAATTAGTATATTATAACCCATTGGTGATCTTCCAGTGCACATCTAGAGTAATATGCAACACAGTTGCAGCGTGCACACACACATGTAGGCATGCTCAAGCGTATTTGGAGAGAGTGTCCATCGAAGGAATTTCATTAAATCTATACGAGTCATCATTGGTTAGGCAATGACTATAAATTCAGTTTCTTGCTAAAAGAATCATGATGACCAACATGAGATTTCCAAATTGGAATGCATTAGTTAACCAAATTTAACACTACAGAATATATAGAAACAGAAATTTCAATGCAATGAAGCTTTATCCTTCAAATGTGAGAGAACCCTGTTAATGTTTATTTATAATATTCTGAGGACATTTTCCTCCCCCTCCTCAGTGGAAGAATCGTTTACGCGAAAAAAGAAACGGAAAAGGAAGAAAATTTTGTACAAAGAAATGGTGATTACTGCTATGTTACAAAATTGCGTGTTTGCTAAAACATGCTAGCAAGTGTCCTTTATCATGAATTCAAGATCCACTCAATCGAGAAGTGGGATCAATGTGTGAGAATATATATGTATATTCTATATTTGGCATGATTGTGATTGTACATATTAAATGCGTAATTGTGATTAGGCGTGATTGTATTTTCTTTTTTTGGTTTCAGCCTTAGGGCTATATAATCTAGGGACTTCTTGTAATCAATTACATAATTGGAATATACAGAAATACAGAAAGCTTACATGGTATCAGAGCCACGTCCGAAACCCTAGGTCTGGCCTTGATCATTTGAAGTTCTTTCTCTTCATTCCCGCTTGCTGTTTGAAGTCTTCACTGGTCTTCTCTGACGCCACGAAGGTCTTTCTGGGCTTCTCCGGAGTCGCGACAGCCCTCTCTGTATTCGTCGAAGTCGCGACTGACTTCTAGTGCTTGGTCTAACGTCGCGACTCTGGTCTGGGTTTGAGGAATTTCTCTCTCTCTCTCTCTCTCTCTCTCTCTCGACCTCTGTTTTGGCTCGATTTCTGGTTTTCTCTCACTTGCTGTGTTGATCGAAGCTTCTGCTTTGGCTTTCTCTCTGGTCTCTGGTCTCTGGTCTCTGCTCTCGGTTTTGGTTCTCTCTTTATGGTATATAGGCTCATTAGTCTGGTTCCAGTACACCTGTATCCGACCCCTCTGTCTCAACTTTGGGTTATTACAGTTTGACCTCTCAAATTTATTAGGTTTTATCATTTTGTCCCATCAATTCCCTTCTCTTTTATTTCTGGTTCATTACAATGTCTCAAGATAAATTCCAAACTATAAAATGCAAACTTACAGCTGACAACTATACTTATTGGTCTAGTGTTATGAGAAATTTTCTTTTCGGCCGAAAAAAATAGGAATATGTTTCTGATTCTATTCCTCGTCCATCGGATCCCAAACAAGAAGAATATCTGATTTCCTGTGACATTTAGGATTGTGATAATGCCCAAGTTTTGACCTAATTCCATAACTCTGTGAATGACCGTATCGGGATGATGTTTTCTAAATATAGCACTGCCAAACATGTGTGGGATTACTTACAAAAAGTTTATCAACAGTCCAACTTTGCCAAACAATATGAGTTGGAAACAACTATTTAGGGAGCTCGTCAGCGGGATCTGTCTATTCAAGATTTCTATATTGAAGTGACGGGTCTCTGGGATCAGTTGGCTCTTATAAAACCTTCAAATCTCAAGGTTCTAGATGCTTATATTGAGTTTCGGGAGTAGGGTCGTTTAGTGCAGTTCTTAACAACTCTCTCCCCTTAGTATGAGGCTATCCGTGGTAACATTCTTCACTGGTCTCCTCTTCCCTCTGTGGATGCCATTGTTCGTAAGCTTTTCTTTGAGGAAACCAGTCTCAAAGTGAGTTTCAAAATTTGGTGAACCAACTAACAACTGTCAAAATGGAGTTAGATGATGAGATGCAGGCCCTATTGCTGCTCAGTTCTTTGCTAGACAGTTGGGAGACATTGATGGTGTCCCTCAGCAACTCTGCCCCAGAAGGGAAACTGACCATGAGCATGGTTACAGATGCTTTATTTAGTGAAGAGGCAAGAAAGAAAGAAATGGGTGGAGATCAATCTCATGCCCTTGTCACAGAAAATAAAAGCAGAGATAGAGGCAAGGGTAGGAGAAGAAGCAAAAGTAGAGGACACAGCAGAGGAAGATCTCAAGACAGAGGGAAATCCAGAGAAGGTACGAGCCGGCCAAAGTTCAAATGTTACCATTGTGGCCAGGAGGGTCACATAAAGAAGTATTGCTATGCCTTGAAGGGAGAACAACAACAAGGCAATAGACAGCCAAAGACCGAAGATGGGACCACTACAGTTACTATCTCAGAGGATATTGCATTATTCTCTGTTGAAGAAGAAGAATGCCTCCATATGTCAGACAACGACACCGAGTGGGTGGTAGATACAGCAGCTTCCTACCACGCTACATCCCAGAAGGAGTTCTTCAGTACGTACCAAGCTGGAGATTTTGGTACAGTGAAAATGGGTAACTCCAGTTTTTCAAAAATTGTGGGAATTGGTGATGTTCATATCAAAACCAAAGTTGGGTGCACGATGGTGTTGAAAGATGTCAGGCATGTTCCCGATTTACGCCTGAATCTTATTTCAGGGATAGCCTTAGATCGACAAGGCTATGAGAACTACTTTGGCAAAGGCATATGGAAGTTGAAAAAGGGATCTCTCGTGGTAGCCAAAGGACAGGCAATTGGCACACTATACAAGACTTATGTGGAGGTGAATTCAAATAGCCTCAACGCAGCAGAAGATGAGACGTCACCAAATTTGTGGCACAAAAGGCTGGGTCATATGAGTGAGAAAGGGTTACAGATTTTGGCAAAGAAGTCACTTATTCCCTTTGCCAAAGATGCAAAATTAAATCCTTGTGACAACTGCTTGTTTGGGAAGCATCATAGAGTCGCTTTCCATTCATCATCCAGAAGACAATCAGAGTTGTTGAGCAGAGTATACTCTGATGTTTGCGGTCCCATTGAAGTGGAATCTTTGGGTGGTAGAAAATACTTTCTGACGTTCATTGATGATGCATCACGAAAGGTATGGGTTTATGTCTTAAAGACCAAAGCTGAGGTGTTCCAGCATTTTCAGACATTCCATGCTATGGTGGAAATGAAGACTGGAAAGAAGCTGAAATGTCTCCGAACAGACAATGGAGGCGAGTACACGTCAAAGGAATTTAAAGCCTACTGTGCTACTCACGGCATCTGGCATGAGAAGACTGTTCTTGGAACCCCATAACACAATGGTGTAGCCGAGAGAATGAACCGAACCATTGTGGAGAAGGTCCGATGTATGCTCAAAATGGCAAAGCTACCAAAGCCATTTTGGGGAGAAGCTGTTCTTGTTGCTTGCTATTTGATCAACAGATCGCCATCAGTTCCACTGAATTTTCAGATTCCAGAAGAAGTATGGTCTGGAAGGAAGATCTCTTACTCTCACTTGAGAGTGTTTGGGTGCAAAGCATTTGCACATGTATCCAAGGAGCACAGACAGAAGCTGGATGACAAAGCCACTCCATGCATCTTTATTGGCTATGGAGATGAAGAATTTGGATACAGATTGTGGGATCCGAAACACAAAAAGGTCATTCGAAGCCGAGATGTGGTGTTTCAAGAAGGCCAGACCTTTGAAGACTTTGGGCAACCAGCCAAACCCAAAGTTGATGATGTTTCAGAAATTATTCCAAACCCTGCACCATCACAGCATGCCACTGATGAAGAAGAGTTACCGCAGCATGCAGTCAATAATGTAGAGTTGCAGGATGGATTTCTAGAAAAAGAAGATCCAGAAGCAGAGGGTGTTGAGCAGGGGGAGCCACAACCCCCTCTACCAGAGACTGTTGGTCCACAGTTACGAAGATCAACAAGAGAATTTAAGCCGTCAACCAAATACCCTACTTCTGAGTATATTTTGCTTACCGATGAGGGGGAGCCAGAAAGTTTTCAAGAAGCTCAAAATCATAAGGAGAAGAGTAGCTGGCAGCAATCTATGCAAGAAGAGATGCAATCCTTGCAGAAGAATCAGACTTATGATTTGGTGAAACTTCCCCAGGGTCGAAAAGCATTGCAGAACAAATGGGTGTTCAAGTTGAAGAAAGATGGCAGCGGAAAGCTAGTCAAGTATAAGGCTCGATTGGTTGTCAAAGGTTTTGGGCAGAAGAAAGGTATTGATTTTGATGAAATCTTCTCGCCAGTTGTGAAAATGACATCCATTCGAGTAGTTTTGGGACTAGCAGCTAGTTTGAATTTGGAACTTGAACAAATGGATGTGAAGACAGCATTTCTCCATGGTGATCTGAAGGAAGAAATTTACATGGAGCAGCCAGAAGGTTTTGAAGTCAAAGGGAAAGAAAACTTAGTCTGCAGATTGAAGAAGAGTCTCTACGGCCTCAAACAAGCGCCGAGACAGTGGTACAAGAAGTTTGACTCATTCATGGTAGGTCATGAGTACAAGAGAACTGCTGCAGACCAGTGTGTTTATGTCAGAACATTTCCTGGTGGAAACTTTATCATACTTCTGCTCTATGTTGATGACATGTTGATCGTTGGACAAGATGCCACAACAATCAGATCACTGAAGAAGGAGTTATTACAGTCCTTTGACATGAAGGACCTAGGCCCTGCACAACAAATTTTGGGCATGAATATTGTGCATGACAGGAAAGCCAAGAAGTTGTGGCTGTCACAGGAGAAGTACGTTGAACGAGTGATTGAGAAGTTCAACATGAAAGATGCCAAGCCAGTCAGTACTCCGCTAGCTAATCATTTCAAGCTGAGCAAGAATTCTTGTCCCTCCTCTACGAAGGAAAGACAAGAGATGGAGGCGATTCCCTACTCATCCGCTGTAGGGAGTTTGATGTATGCAATGGTGTCCACCCGACCAGATATTGCTCATGCGGTTGGAGTTGTAAGCAGATTCCTTTCCAATCCAGGAAAAGAGCATTGGGAAGCAGTCAAGTGGATTCTGAGGTACCTCAAGGGTACAGCAAAAATGTGTTTGTGCTTTAGAGATGCTAAACCAGTCTTGGAAGGCTATACTGATTCAGATATGGCAGGCGATCTTGATGGTAGGAAATCTACATCAGGATTGCTGTTCACTTTCGCAGGGGGAGCTGTGTCTTGGCAGTCCAAGCTGCAAAAGTGTGTTGCTTTATCCACAACTGAGGCAGAGTATATTGCCGCAGCGGAAGCCGGGAAAGAAATGTTGTGGTTGAAACGGTTTCTCCAAGAGTTGGGATTAAAGCAAGAAAAGTTTACTGTACATTGTGATAGCCAGAGTGCCATAGACTTGAGCAAGAATTCAATGTACCATTCTCGCACAAAGCTCATTGATGTTCGGTATCATTGGATACGCGAAGTGATGGACAAGCAGTTATTGGAACTGATCAAGATCCACACAGATAAGAATCCTTCTGACATGATGACCAAGGGTGTCACTAGAGACAAACTGGAAGTTTGCAAGCATCTGATCGGGATGGACTTCAAGTGAGAAGTCAGTTGTCCATGTGGGCGTGGAGGGGGAGAATTGTTGGCTCTATCCACTACCCACATGGTAAGGAGCCCACCATCCACATGGTGTGGGTGGCACCATGTGGTAAAAGAAGCTAGTGGAGGGCAACACCAACTCACTAAAGGAAGATAGTGAGGGTGGCACCACCTTGGCCAATTATGGCTATCACTTCACCTACTCCTCCTCTCTTGGTTATAAATTGAGATGAGTGAGGAGGGGTTGTATATATCAGAAATTGGAGAGTGAGAGCTGTGAGTTGAGTGAGTTTCATCTCCTCCTCTGTATTTGTATTTTGCTCCATTTTAGTGAAAATTCTCATTTCTGTCCGTGGATGTAGGCATTGGGCCGAACCACGTAAATATTGTGTTCTCTGTGTGTGTGAGATAATTTTTCTGGGTGTGTTTGATCCTAACAGATTACTGCTCTGTTACAAAATTGTGCGTTTGCTAAAACATGCTAGCAAGTGTCCTTTATCATGAATTCAAGATCCACTCAATCGAGAAGTGAGATTAATGTGTGAGAATATATGTGTATATTCTATATTTC